TATATTTACATGATATCCGTATGGTGACAGCTGATGGCATACAACTATCTCATTTTATTGATGAACATATAATAAAAATTTCACTGGTTGAAATCATGAGTCAATTGAAGCTAGACCACCATGGAAAACCTGGAAGCAATAGACAGCCGTTTCGTCCTAGTATGGAACTCCTCAGCAATGCGCATCCACGATCGCGCCCCCGCGAGATTGGAACCCATGACCTGTTAGTCTCGTGCGCGAGTGCTTAATCTTTAGACCACTGAGCCAGCATCCAATGGTGTTAATGTCTAGCTTCAACCAATCCACGAAGTTGCGCCACCGTACGCGCGCGAGACTGAAAGGTTCTGGGTTCCAATCTCGTGGAGGGCGAGATAACGAATGTGCACTGCTGAGGAGTCCCATACTAGGACGAAACGGCTATCCAGTGCTTGCAGGTTTTCCATGGTGATCTAGCTTCGATTGACTCATGATTTCAATCAGTGGAATTTCTAAAATCTTCACAAAACCCATCTGACATAATAAAAAGACGTTATGGGATTAATTTGAGAACAGGCACTTCAATAAATGCTCTATACAAATAACCGAAAAAATTTTCGATTTTTTCTAAGGCTTTAATTATAGGGAAATTCAAACTAATTGTACTTATATCAGAAGCAACCTGATAATATTCAGTTTATTTTTATATAAAGTATAACCCTGTTATTTGTCCTTTATTATCCTTATTAAATACTTTTTAATTATCATATAAATATGTAAACAATTGTTGTTTGGACTGTGTTTTTTGAGCACACAGATTCGATGCGAAATAAGCGCTGATAATATTGCCTAGAACAACAACTATACTTTTACAATTAGACCACCAAGCCCAAAGGATGTCAAGCAGTCTTAAACATTTATCTGGATTATGAATTTTTCGCATTAAAATAATTTAATTTATCAACAGACTATTCGATATGCACTTAGTTGATATGTTGTATGATATTGAACTTCATTTTATCATTACATTATTTGATTATAAGTTTATTATCGTTACAAAGAATGTCTTAGTTTATTCATTTATTTAAATCACTTCATTGAGATTGATATAGTTTTAATCATTCACAAATTTCTGATTCAAACTTTTAGTCGGCAGGCAATCCTAAACGATGATCCCCGTGATGATAAGTGACTACAGTTAACCGTGCTCAAGCATTCAGCTTTGGATTAACTAAGATTCCGATTAAGGATAGTTCCTAAACATGTGTTTGGCAAGTGCACTTTATTCGGCTAATATAACATGCTCTAGAAGTTACAATGATCATAGGAAAGAAGATTTTCTGCACTATAAAGTCTTTTTGTTTAATGAATAATTCTTCGAATAACCAAAACTAATTAAATCGCGAATTTACTAAGACTTAAATTCTTAAAGTAATAAGTCCCTTTTATAAATTTCTATAGAGCAACTCCGTATTCTCATTGTTGTATCGGGATTTTATATTTCTACAAACTCAGATGAATGAATGTATAAAGTAAATGGAACACTGCATATTTTATATGATTATAGATACTATCAAGCTAATCTGTGCAAATCTATAATTTAAAAAGACACAATTTAGCCTTCAATACGTTATAATCAATATACATGAATATCATATGATTCAAAGAAGGAATAATAAAATATACACAATCCGAACATTGGTTTTCAATGCGACAGATGCACAAACTACAAGTAGCTATCATACTCCGATAGAAGTCAAAGTACTCATCGACTGGCAGTCAAGTAAAGACTGTATGTATTATGTTAGATTAAATCAGTGGTGGATGTTTAAATTATAACAAAACTGGTTGTTGGTTTCGTTACGGACATGTCAGTTGCATAATTTCTAAAACTACTCTTGACATAAGCTGAAACCGAACTACTATGAGAGAGAGAGTTTAAGTGTAGAATTTAATGCAAAAATGAAAATAAAAGAATTCAGTCCTATGGTTTATCTACTTAGTTACAATTGAAATTACCTCTTGTTTTCTTCCGCTAAGTTAGCAGATGAGACAAGAACGCGTGATAGAGATGGCAGCTGAGATTCACAAACAGGTTTAGCAATATCACTTATCAAGTTAGGTTTCAAAAGTGAACCCAAAGTAAACTGTTTGTTAGGAGATACTGATTGGTTTGTTTCACTAGATGATGACTGAGGCGCACACCAAGATTTCGGCATACCTTGATTTGAAGAAGTTTCATCTTTTTGACCGTTTTTTGATGTTAATGTTGATGACATTGTAGCATTATCAACTGTTGCGGCGGTCGCAGCTGAAATTGCTTCCTGTGTACTTAAAATGTTCAAATCCAACTGACCTTCTTTATACGCTTTAAATAATCTAAAATTATCCTAAGAATAAAAAATACAAACGACTACTGAATTGAGCAATAAGCAAAAAATGTGAAAAATATGACAAATAACCGTCAATCCTAATAGCTGATCACTGCTAAAAGACACTATCAGCACAACTGAGGAAAGGTTGTTCTTTTTTATGATTCAACTAGGATTAGTAATACTTTTGTAGCTAAAGGACTCATCACTTTGACTCCAAAAGATAATGAACGATGAAATATGTATGCTTGGTAATTTCGTAAATATTTTTGTAACCAATCCCTTTAAAACAATGCGAAATTAAAAGGTTGAATAAAAGTAGTGTTGCGGATGTGTAACTTTCATGGATATGATTTACCAGAGAAACTGTATGAACGATAAACACGGAGTAGCCTTTGTTTAGTATTGGCCAAAAGACGTTTAGTTAAGTATGGATCAGTTTACATATAAGAACAGACAAAGTAATGTAGACACGGAGAAATAGACACACATCTGTTTATAAAAGTGTACATAAATTAAAGATCAACATTAGTTGGATATTAACACAAAATAGAACCAATAACGTTGCAAATACATATACAAAAATCGGATAAGTTCAAATAACAGCTTGTAACGATCTGTCGCCAGTTCACAATACGATTATAAATCTAACTAAATCTTTATTGTTTCATGTATATAGAAAGCGCTACAATACTAGATATTACTACCAGGATTGAGGACTGAACCACTAAATCACTGTTCACATACTTATGAGAAGCTTGAGAAGAATTTCACCGAAATCATCATAGCTCACTTCATAAAGATTGGTTGATTAGTTGAATGGTAGATTTTTTTAGTGCTAACAGTGTACCAGTGTAGATTTGCGTTTATCCGACTAAATAATCATAAACCTGTAGTAAATGTGACTCAAACTTACGTAGAATAATTAAAAAACTAGTGTCGATTGTAGGTAGGCAAGTGTTGATTATACACTTCGATATATCCTAACGATTAACAGTAAGATAGGTATTTATTAGGAAGGATCTGAGTTATCCTTATGTTTAGAACAAAATGTACTGGGTTTGAGTCCTGGAGTGAACATAAGTAAACATTTCTTTGTGCATAACTATTCACTTTTGTAAACATACATATTGCATTAAACTGGATTCAATAACATGAGATCATTTTAACCTCATAAGTTTAACGTATAGAAAATCACATAAGATACTCCCAATGAAGTCAAAACGCTTAAGAAATTATGCACGAAAAATTACATGTTTGTCATCGAAAGTGTCCGATAGATTTGTATCCAATCTCCCATCTTCGTCCTCTGAATTTGTTTCATTCATTAGTCACTTTCTGTAAAGCTGCAGATAATAAAAAGAACAGTAAATAACTATCAAATATCTGTTGTGCATCGTACTATCTTAAAATTATAAGCTAGTTAATCATGAAAGATTTTGGGCTTGGTATCAACTACCTCCAGCTGACATGCAGCACGATGTCGAATCAGAGTAGCGGGTAGATTGCAACTTGATCGACAGTATCTGAGGTGTGGGCGAAAAAAATGATTGGTTGTTTGCTCAGTTGGACTAGCAAATAGTCTGACAGGTATTAGATGAGTTATATATTTTCCCATCCTTATCATTATTGGTTTCCGGTGGAAATATACTTACGTTCTAGTCAGACAAATAATGTGTTCTTGATATGAGTTGATGAAGTCCTGTAAAATAGATATTGAGAGGGTACCTAGTGTAGTATTCGTCTAAGGTAAACTAACGTCTCAGTCGGCGTAGACAGGAAAACTGAGTATTATAATAATATCTAATCACTGGTCACTACTCAGGGATCGATCAATTGTATAAACTTACAATTAATGTACAAATTACCAGATTGATACATCAAATTCTACCGTAAAATAAATGTTAATGTAACTGAGTTATCAGGTTTATTTTCATTTACTAAGCGAAAAAAGACTACGGTTTGATAGTGATGCTATATTATAGATCAATCATAACTCCAACAAGTTTCCTTCAAAACCGTAACGATGATACACAAATGTTATGCAATCGATTGAAACTTCCTTCACATTGTCACTGGCTTGAACACAACACCTGGAATTTAGTAGCTTTTTAATTGAAGCATATACGTGAAACTATCGGACTGTATTAAAAAAGAATTACGCAGATATATGACAGAGAACTGGTCAGATTACAACACAAAAATTAGAATATTAGACTAGAGAAGTAGATAACAGCAAAATTTCAATAAAGGTTTCGTTATTATAAATAAATTGTCTCGAAATTTACAAAACAAACATACAGAAGAACACTGTTTACATAAATTAAAGGAAAGAGATCAAATATATAAAAATGTAAAGAATAAAATACAGAGCAAATAGATAGAGAAAATGATACAGAGGTGGAAATGATCATCACAGTTTCAAAAGAATTATGTAAACACAAGACTGAAACGAAACAAATCTATCAGTGTAGTATAACAAAAGATATCGTGAGATATATTTTACTGATGCACATATTTAATTATAAGTGTTGCAAATAAATTTTGTTAAATAGATCGGTCATTCCCGCACTCAATTGGAAATAAACAAAGTGTAGTTAATTTGTTAAATTTTTATATACTTCACATCCACTATCATTATTACTGTATCTCTCATTTAGGAATAGGATTAATATGACCGCTAGCAATAGATATCTCATTGTGATCGAATGAGTCATAGTTAAGATCCCTTGGTGTAATAAACCGTAAATGACCATCAGGTGTACGATGTAGGTCAGTTAGTTTTTGGATTACCTCAGAAAGCAAGGGATTATTGCCATACTTCACAATTAACTGACTGCATCTACAGAAAAAAGAATTCATTGAAGAGAGATTATTCAAAAGATGAATGTGGATTTATGAAGAATAAGCGATTTCAGTAGGTGTCATCTAGGATACGGATAAACGAAATGAGATATTCTTTTAAGCTATGCAAATTGATCACTTTCGTTACCTACTCTATTTAGCTCCTCTTATATCATGAAATAAAATGAAAACAGAGTATTCGATTTGTACGAAGATTACTGGACACCATGTACCTAACGATCGTATTCCTTATTTTACAAAAACAACAGTTTTTATCGATTCCTTTTCAGTACAGTTGATGAATTTAATCTGAGTGGTCGATTGTTTTTACTGTTGTGTCGATTGATCATTCTTTGGAATTTAGTTATTTTGCACTTGACGTATGCCCCAGAATTTCTTAAGATTTTACAGTTTCGATACTCACAGACTTTTATTGTTTTCTAACTTCAACAGGATATTGATTTATACTCTTAATTCGGATACTTCGCATTAGAGCTTCTATTGACAAGGATCATGATAAAACAAACTCTAATGTAGCTACATACTGTAAAAATATTTTTTCATTAAATTCATTTCCTAACTTAAACACGAACCAAAAACCATCCACTAAGATGTTTTATACATGTGAACAAGATAAACAGCTCTTACGACACTAAATTCAATACCCACTAAATGCAACTTTTCATAAAGGAACTACATTTAGTAAACTGGTACAAAATTCTAACTGTCAAAATGTCATACGGGTGAGTTTATGATGGCCAGGACGATTCCAGGCAGATTTTAGGTTGCTGAAAAGCCAAATATACTGTGTCTTGATCGCAACCTCACATGGAAGGTAGGCTATGTAAGTATGGGTGATTTATTGGTAAGTGAATTATCCAAGGTAACCGTTCACATATCTTGTTTGGGTCAGTGTAATAACATGTATATGCATAATTTTTGCACATAATTATTCACTTTCAATATACAGCTTCCTATCCATTCTTATTGTTTTTACTTTGTATGGTTGGTCGGGCAAGCGTTAGGAAACCTGCAACGTGACTGAACTAGACTGAAGACCACAACAATATAATAACGCCGACTATAATTAACTGAATTTTGCAGTACAAACAAAATACTTAATGGTATTCTCGTCGAAAGCATTTAAAGCAATTTTGCAGAAAACATCAGGAGTTTTGGGCATTGGTGATTCAAATAACGAGAAAAAGAACGCAGCTCTGCTTAGCCCTATGCAACCCATGTCAATCGTTCAACTTTAGTGAACTGTTAGCTCGATTAATACTCAACAGGGTTGCTGAATATCATTAGAGCCCACAAGTAGTATCATATACAGTTTTAGATAAAACTTAGGACACTGTTAACTACGATGACAGGATCTGTGAACACCTAAAAACTGTATCTAGTTTTGAAATTAACGTTCGACTCAGTTAACTAGTGAACTCGGCACATTACCTAATGTATATTATATGACCAACATGAATTGCCGGAACTATAGAACGTTGGAGCTGCTGAATTTATATTGTTTTAGACAAGTCAACTAAATATTATGGTATCTGTGACTATAAACACAAATTCTGAAGACCTTATCAAATTCTCACCAATAAAACTGGTTTATCTCAATGATCGAGTGATAAATCAAATAGTTTGTTTGGATCATACCCAAAACTGATTTTCCATCATATTGTAAAATGTGCCAAATAACGTTACCAATTCTGTTATAAAAGGGGAAACTGATACTCTATAAACTTATAGTAAAACTTGACACGAACGCAATAGACCAAGTATCTGTGCTAAATACATGATGAAGCGAGTTCATTTTGTTTCTTAACCAAATACTTTATTTTGTTGAATGATGAAAGAGTTGAGTCTAAATACTGAGATATACAACAAACGTAAGATGATTAAGAAACCAAGTCTTATTTTTGCCACTACATTATACTTCGTTAAGCAATGGATTTACTGGGTTCAATTTTTTAGTTTACATCGAAATTTGATTATACCAGTTGATGAAATGTTTTGCACTGGATATTTATTTTGTCATCGTTTTGAGACTACATACAAAGTACACACGCCCCATAATCCCACGCCTCATGAGAATTACCTTAGAAAATCCCTACAAGATCACTTCAATTTAAAGAGTGTAAATCATAAGTCACCTTGCAATTAATTGAATCATTTTGTAATAAAACTCATTAAGACTATATATCTAAAACGATATTCTTATTTCCACCTCGAGGATTTAAAACAATGAAAATGCAACGTACAATATGGAAGTGGAAGTCTAGTTGGAATATAGACTATGTTTTTTTTAACAAGAAGTACTAAGTAGTATACAAACGAGTTGTTATAGTTCACTACAACAACCTTCATGGTGTTCGGCCATAGGTAGAAAGTTTTGCTGACACATCAATATTAGGAAAAAGACGATGCAGACCCACTACACTAACATCTTGTGATTAGTGAAAAACCTGCACCATGCAATTCAAAATACGAAAATATTCTTATATATATTACTTAACAAAAGGCAAGTTTACACAACTTACACTTAAATCAACTAAGTTTGCATAATCGTCACGAATTTGGTAAAACAGACCAATCGCATCCAAAAGAGGTTTATAATCTCTATGGTAAATAGACAAGTCAGAAGATTACAGATCGCAAGTTTTTAAAAAAGGAACTACCTTTAAGCATAAGATTTGAATAGCCATTATGTTTCAATATAAATATATATAAGTAAGAAACCAGACTGCTCAAATTTCGCGGCACTTATTGACAAAAACTTTTGTTTTAGAAGACAAATTATATACAATAATCAAGTGTACTTGCACACTTTCATAAAATATTTACAATCTACCTTGTAAATCTAATTTTAATTACTGAATAATACAGGAAGTAACCGCAGTGGATGGCATATTTGTTTCTTTACCTGTCTGTAACACAGAGTTCACATATTCAATATATTAGGTAACTAAAACAAATATTATGTGAGAATAATTGACTGTAAACATTTACAGATGAATATGAATGAAAGGTAATCACTATTTAGAAATTTTTATGCACATCTTTTGAATATTAACAGTCAGTCAGCTACAACGTAAGACTAGGCACATATATCCATCGGTCCACGTTGCCACACCTCATTAGTACAACAAGACGAACACCGAATTCATAGAAGCAGTTAATGCAGAGGTGGTAATATATAAAAGAAAGATTGCAATAAGGATATAGTACAGGAAGAAAGAATTAGTTCGTAGAAAGAAAGATATGAAGCGATTTCAATCTCTTAGTTTAAGGGAAGACAAAGAGTGTATATACCCACGGCATTGTGATCGATTCTGAGCCATTTCACTCACAGTCTCCAACCATTGGTTACGATAGTCACGCGGACCCCAACAAAGAATTTTGCATCTACCAACATGGCTAAGACTAGAAGTTAGTGACTTCAAGCACTGATGTCACGTTTTGGTTCGGTCGCCCCTAACTTCCGACCATTCCCAACACTAGTCAGCATTGCACGTCGTGGTAATCGGTGTTCAGGCACACGTAACACGTGGCCCAACCATCTCAGTCGATGAAGATTCACAACCTCATAAACTGATTTACCACCATTCCCTAATACCCTAAGCCTAACCTCACTATTACGTACCCGATGATCCCAGCAGATGCGAGCAATATTTCTAAGACATCTGTGGTCAAATACCAGTAACTTACGAGTATCTTCTACTCTTAATGGCGATGTTTCGCAGCCGTAAAGTAGAACAGAACGAACTACCGAGCAGTACACTCATCCCTTAATTGATAGACAGATATCTCGCCTTCGCCATAGGTGACGTAAGTTGGTAAACGTCAAACGAGCTTTTCGAATCCGTGTAGAGATTTCGTCAGACACCAATCTATTAGGGCTGATCAGACTTCCAAGATAAGCAAAGTTGTCTACGCGTTCGACTACTTCACTCCCTATCATTAGTTCAGGTGATGACGCAGACCAGTCCTGAAGCGAATATAAAACGAGGATTTCGTTTTAGTGTTGAATACTTTGTGTTGACAATTCTTTATTATAATCAAATACATACTTCTGAATAAAGCGATGTTCACTAATAGCATCAACAGTAGTGTGGTGCATACTATCAACAAGACAGACTGTAAGTAATATGAATCGGAACGTGGTGAGGAAGCTGTCACAGTCGACAGACAGAAGTTTCAGTAAGTCGAAAAGCATGGCGTAGGTAGAACGCTTTAAAACTGGAAGAAAATACAGTTTAGAACTAACTAGACTGCAGAACACACAGAAAGATACAAATGGATGGTCAGAGGTTGTGTATACATATCATACGTTGTAATTTCCCCACTCTCGGCCATACCAGGACATTTGGGGGCCTTTACTTTACAGTAGTATCACAGAATGGACCTGAGTACTTCAAACAATATTGGTCAAATCTATATGGTCTTTTTTGGTTACGGAGGGACAATAAAGTTCCATTGATGTTTATGCTCACAAATATTTACAAGTGTAGTTAGATGAACAATATATATAACTAATTTTATTTCATTTTGACATGGATTTTAATTAACGGAAGAAACACTAACAAATTTGCTAATTATAAGGGCTTAATTTTAATTCTCAAAATCAATGCTCCCAAAAGAATAGCGTACTAGTGTTATCATTCTACTTTTTAATATCCCGCAAACATAATACTTCACTTGACTAGTCCGGAATCAGAACATGAATTGAAATTACATGAAAATAAATTCCAGAAAATCCGGATAACAAAAGATGATGGCGTAAAAATGTGAGCATTTGTATAAACTTCATACAAGAATCTTCTACTGTCTTCTCATCTGGGAGGATTACAATATCTACATGGAAGTCTCTAATTGAAATATCAAAATATAACATATAGATATCAATCTAGTGTTCAAACCTGTAACGGAATTGCTAAATATGGAAAGCATAAAATAGCTTCAACATGAAATTTGATGAAACGTACTCAAATGACAATTTACATTATTATTATTGTTATTACTAGTATTATTATTAATGTTATATCTCACAAAGATATTTTAAAACATTTCAAAGTAAATCAGTGTGAATATCTAATTTCTTCATGAACAGGCAGAAATTAATTTGATGTATACCGTTTAAAATATTTAATTGAGTGAAAAATGGACAGTTATCTTAACGTACGTTTGATTTTCAGAGAACAATTGCATTAGACGAACACCTAGACTGAACAGACCACCAGTTTCTGGAAACAAAGTTGAGGTTAAACATGTATTATTTAAAATGAAAAAAACAAAGCGCTCAAGTACACCAATACACAATACAAAGAGAATACTTGGTTGTGAACACCTCAATAGAAAGATTAGAAACTAGAAAACGACAATATACAACAAATCTTCAACTTCCTAACTCCTGGAATTCACTCATAATTGAAACTATCTCATAAAAAGCTATGTTAAAGAAATAGTTTTTAAAACTTATTACATAACCTTAATAGGTGAAAGTAATGTAATGTACCAACATTTTCGAGTATCATAACAACTGAGCTGCTTTAATTAGTGCAACTATGAGAAAAATACAATGAATAAACTCTTAAGATATACTAAATTCACACCGATCGTGACACAAATCATAAACATTAAGCGGAACATACATCTGTGTAAGTACTTTAGAACACATATGAATTAATGATTTCAAAATAAATAACAAAACGACTGATAACTGATAGCAATAGAATAAACAGTCAGTCAGTCAGCTACAACGTAGGACCAGACACATACATGCATCGGTCCAAGTTGTCACACCTCATTGGCACAGCAAGACGAACACCGAATTCATAGAAGCAGTTAACTCAATGATGTAATATACAAAGGAAAGATTTTGTGTAAGGATATAGTACAGGAAGAAAGAATTAGTTCGTAGAAAGAAAGATATGAAGCGATTTCAATCTCTTAGTTTAAGGGAAGACAAAGAGTGTATATACCCACGGCATTGTGATCGATTCTGAGCCATTTCACTCACAGTCTCCAACCATTGGTTACGATAGTCACGCGGACCCCAACAAAGAATTTTGCATCTACCAACATGGCTAAGACTAGAAGTTAGTGACTTCAAGCACTGATGTCACGTTTTGGTTCGGTCGCCCCTAACTTCCGACCATTCCCAACACTAGTCAGCATTGCACGTCGTGGTAATCGGTGTTCAGGCACACGTAACACGTGGCCCAACCATCTCAGTCGATGAAGATTCACAACCTCATAAACTGATTTACCACCATTCCCTAATACCCTAAGCCTAACCTCACTATTACGTACCCGATGATCCCAGCAGATGCGAGCAATATTTCTAAGACATCTGTGGTCAAATACCAGTAACTTACGAGTATCTTCTACTCTTAATGGCGATGTTTCGCAGCCGTAAAGTAGAACAGAACGAACTACCGAGCAGTACACTCATCCCTTAATTGATAGACAGATATCTCGCCTTCGCCATAGGTGACGTAAGTTGGTAAACGTCAAACGAGCTTTTCGAATCCGTGTAGAGATTTCGTCAGACACCAATCTATTAGGGCTGATCAGACTTCCAAGATAAGTAAAGTTGTCTACGCGTTCGACTACTTCACTCCCTATCATTAGTTCAGGTGTTGACGCAGGCCAGTCCTGAAACAACAACTTGCATTTAGAGGGGGAGAAGCACATCCCAAACATCCTGGCATTGTTGCTCAGTGCTACCAACAGATACTGCATTTTATCAGTGTCTTCACCAAACAGGACAATATCATCTGCGTATTCTAAGTCGATAAGTGGACCTCTTGGTAGGAGATCAATGCCCGAAAATTCAGTCGATGAGGGCATTGTTTCCATCAGTATGTCTATGACGAAGCTAAACAAAAAGGTGAAAGTGGACAGCCTTGCCAGACATCACTTGAGGTTGCAAAAGCAGATGACAGTTCGCTGTAAGCTCTCACTCGAGTAAAGAGCCTTCACAAGGTTTATGTACTTCTGAGGTACGCCTTTCAATGACACACTGCCACAGAGCCTCTCGGTTCACGGAGTCAAGTGCTGCTTTTAAATTAAGGAAAACTATCCTTGTCGGACGCCGATAAGCGTGTCTGAGTTCTAAAACCTGACGAATAGTGAATACGTGGTCGATGTAGCCACGACCACGTTTGAAGCCAACCAGATTTTCTCGTGTTTGAAGTTCACGAGTCTTTGTTAAGCGTCCGACAATTATTGAGGCTAGTATTTTGGATGCTATATTAGTCAAACTGATCTCCCTATGGTTATCACAGGATGATTTGGACCGCTTCTTATATATGGGGACAACCAGTGACTGCGACCAGTTAGACGGAATTACATTCAGTTCCCAGAGTTAGGCTAAAATATTAATCAACCTAATCGCTAAAACTGGAGCACCATCCTTAAACACCTCTGGAGCCAATCCATCCGGACCAGCTGCTCTTCCTCGTTCCAGATTAACTATATTTTTTTGGACTTCCATCGGAGTCGGGAGCGGCTACTTCAATGTTTCATTTAGGTTGTTTGGGAATGGTTGGTAGTTGTAGAGTAGAGTTAATCATTATAATATGGATAATCTACTTTGTATTGAGGTATTTTGTAACCATATTCTGGTGAGATCAAACTTAATACGTAGTAAAAAGCAAAGACAAATTACTCCGAACACTGGCACAGCTACGATAAATTTGAAGTGAAAATACTAGTCTTTATAGAGATGATACAAATGGACAAAAATAATAACTTAAAAATATGTAGCATTACAATCAGTAGCAGTGAATGTTAGGAGTACTTGGATATATTTACTGTCACACTAATGTTTCATTATACATTGTATTCATTGTGGCAATATTTACTGAATGTTCATTTAATAAAATACTTAAAATATACTAAATATCTATCTCAAGTGAAAAATATGTAGGCAATAGAAACGACTATAAATTACTTCATAATTCATTAAACTTACTACATAATACCATAGCCTCGTATTCTGATTCTGATGGACACTTAAAAGAGGAGCGCCAAAATATATCCATACCTTGTCCACGATGCAATACAAGCATTTGCTCTAAAAGTTCAAATGAAACAACTTCACTTTTACTCAACAAACCAGACTTGATAACACTGAATTCTGATAGCAAAACAAAAAAGCATACAGGAAGCTGTTATTGTGGTAAAGTATAACCGTCCCAATGATAAGACCGATGAATTTACATCACGAGTCAGTTCGCATATACTACATCAAAGTCTAATAATAGCTTAGATATATTTTTTTATACATATCCCGACCGTTTTTGCTACATTGACGTGGTGGTCGGACTTGCCCATCGTGATGAACCAACCGAGCTATACTGGCTGGAACAATCATTTTTTAATATCCTACCATGCCAAACAGGTCTGCTGAAAAGCGATAAGACCAAAAGCAACAAACCCAACGTCTGAAGGCGAAGTCGTACTGCTGACTGTACAGAGGTGTGACAGCAGTAAGGTGTCCCCTCCAGACAACTAGCATAACGGCGATGCTGCCTTTCCACAAGGAGAGGTGGGGATAGTAAAGGTCGACCCTAAAAATGCACACCTCGCCTTTTCCCACGGATATCCGTCTCCGGCTGCAAGGTCCCAACAAGTATGGAGCTAACACGAAAACTGCTCACAAAAGGTCGTGTGTGACTGGCCTCAAGCAGTTGTCTCTTGGGCACTGTGGTCACGCTCTCAGGTCACCAAGACCACCTCTAATCCGATTTCCTTTCCAGGTACCTCCAGAAGAACCCTTGCACGATGTGGGCGACCGGGAAGTGATAACCGCACTCATACCTCTAACAGCACTCAAGACTTCATTCATAATCAACGTCTTCCTTCGGTTCCTATTATTTTTCCTACGGCGACCTTCAGCACTAAAGTTCCTCTTTTGACTTCCTCCTCAAATGTCATCATAGCCAACGATTCTAGTGCGCAAAACACTGTCCCAGATCTACTGAAACCGCGCTCCAAACTACACATTGGAGCCCTCAAATTACGCACACTATGTCAAATCGGTCAGCAGGCCTCTTAGGCTGAGACTAGAATCTCGTACCATTGATGTATGCTGTCTCCGAAACACGTATACTGGATCCTAGAGCGGTCTTTCACTTGACCCCACCTCGCCAAAACGAAGAGCCGACGAGATACACCCTCCGTGTATCTGGCGACCCGATGTCCAGTTCTTGTGGACCGGAAGGTGCAGAAATAGCACTAAGCACGAGGGCGGAACAAGCACTATGAGAGTGGATCCCCGTTAACAGTCGTCTATGTGTTGTTCGATTAAACGGATCCGTAAGAACTCGGAAGGATAGGGAAACACGTCGTTGCCTTTTTATCGTTTCTGCCTACGCTCCCACTGACTGCGACACGGATGGAGTGAAAGATGACTTTTACAGAAAGCTTCTTCAGAAAGTTAAACGCTCACACATAGTACTCGTAGCAGGTGACTTTAATCCCCAGATGGGTAGCTTAAACCAAACTGAAAGACATTTAGGTGGGTATTTTAGTAACCCACCTCAGCGAACAGATAATAGTGATCGTCTGCTGCATCTGTGCTCAGACAATCGTTTATTTTTAGCAAACACAAATTTTAAGCATAAGGAGAGACATCGTCTAAGATGGCGACCCCCAACACCAAACCAACGATGGACTCAAATAGACCATATTACCATCAGTCATCGTTGGAGAGGGTCGGTAGAAGATTGTCGCTCATTATGGAGTACCTGCTTGGACTCCGATCATGCGCCAATACGGGTAAGCATCTGCTTGCGCCTCACTGGACGCAAAAAAGCCACACTAAAAAGACCCATTAGAACTGAATTGAGTAACGAGAAAACCAAAAGTAGGTCCCAGGAAGAACTGAGGTCACGCTTAGGTAGTTCTGAAAACGAGGCTGACCCAGATGTTGCTTGGAAAGATTTACAAGCAGCTGTGAAAACAGCGGTGATATCTAATAGTGACTTAAACAAAAGGGTTACAAAGAACCATTGGATTCTTTCAAGGTCTGTTGCACTGGTGGATTCTTGTAAAGTCATCCCATCAGGCTCTGAACACGATGATGAAAGAAAGAAAATCAGATCTAGGTTAAGCAAAAGTCTAAGGAACAACCGTGAGCAGTGGTGGGCATCGAAACAAAGAGACGGAAAAGGCGGCGGCTATGGAGAACAAAACACAACTCTTCAGATTCATGGAAGAAACTGGAACTAAAAGGTCAAGTGTGAAACTATCTTGGAAAAAGACGACACGACATTGAAGCAGCCGCTCCCGTCTTCGATGGAAGGGATGTGTGTACTGCTCGGTAGTTCGTTCTGTTCTACTTTACGGCTGCGAAACATCGCCATTAAGAGTAGAAGATACTCGTAAGTTACTGGTATTTGACCACAGATGTCTTAGAAATATTGCTCGCATCTGCTGGGATCATCGGGTACGTAATAGTGAGGTTAGGCTTAGGGTATTAGGGAATGGTGGTAAATCAGTTTATGAGGTTGTGAATCTTCATCGACTGAGATGGTTGGGCCACGTGTTACGTGTGCCTGAACACCGATTACCACGACGTGCAATGCTGACTAGTGTTGGGAATGGTCGGAAGTTAGGGGCGACCGAACCAAAACGTGACATCAGTGCTTGAAGTCACTAACTTCTAGTCTTAGCCATGTTGGTAGATGCAAAATTCTTTGTTGGGGTCCGCGTGACTATCGTAACCAATGGTTGGAGACTGTGAGTGAAATGGCTCAGAATCGATCACAATGCCGTGGGTATATACACTCTTTGTCTTCCCTTAAACTATGATTACTTTATGCCTTCTACGAACTAATTATTTCTTCCTGTACTATATCCTTACACAAAATCTTTCCTTTGTATATTACATCATTGAGTTAACTGCTTCTATGAATTCGGTGTTCGTCTTGCTGTGCCAATGAGGTGTGACAACTTGGACCGATGCATGTATGTGTCTGGTCCTACGTTGTAGCTGACTGACTGCCTGATATATATAATTAAAATCTCTGTCCTCGAGAACTTACATTAGATTAATGAGTATGGATTATACCATAAACCGTCCAAAATTATTCTAGGATATCAGTAGACAGTGAACCGAATAACTCAAGTCACCACTTCAAACAACTTCATATTGCACCAACGATCAATAAACCAAACCTTCTTCTATAGGTTAAAAACCAGACTGTTAGTTCAATGCAGAAATAATTTGCTCAGAAACATGCTTTAAATGAAAACGAGAACGGACAGCTTTGCAGTGACTGAAAAATGTCCAGATACCAATCTCAGCTTATGAAAATACTGAAGTGTACGTTTTTGATAAATCAATGTTAACCAGAAATATTATGCAGAACAGCGAAATTGTCAAAGAGAAAAATCTAACTGGTATCAGTGGTGAAACCCAGGACATACCACTTAAGTCGCAAGTTATCCATTACAGTGAAATAGTTTCGAAAATTAAAGGAATCAAATAAGTAAAATAAGGGATTCACAATAGAATCGCAAAATAACACGAATCTTATAGTTTACATTGCTAATGACCTTAAACATTGGAAAACAGAAAGCACTGGACAGCGGTTTCGTTCTGGTATTGGACTTACTAATAGTGTGGAGTCATTGAATTGAAAAGATCGAACCCAGGACATTCAATCTTCACGACGAGTACTTAGACGTTAGACAACTGGCCCGACACAACCAGTTATTTACGTGATCGAACTATAATGGACTTGGGATACTGAGAGATCGTCATTCATAGCCAGTGGTGATATTTGTCTTAAACTCGACATAGTTAAACTCCAAAAATTACTTTTCAATAAATCTCCTGGAATTACCACCTGCGCTTAGTCACTAGTGAGCACATGCTTATTACTATGAGGGTTTATAGACTGCCAAATTTCGTCATTTTATTCTACGGAGACCTGAAGGCCCTGGCCGTCTAAGACAATTCCGAGATTTAAGTCATGAAATTCAGAAATTTACACAAACTCCTGTAGAAATAATAACATCAATCTATGTTTCGTAGCTAAAGTCATTATCAATATCTAATCAATATACAATCACACCAACCAAACATTTCTTAGAAAATATAACTATTAAGCACCTGTAAATATTTTTACCGATTCAGGACGTTCTAGTAGAGATAATTTTTCTAGGGCAAGAAAATAAGCATAGTTTGCGGAATTGATAGACGGTGCGACTCCAAAAATACAATGAGCAGCTGGTTTACCACGCCGTAAGTGAGAACCGTCTTCGATGTCATCAATACTAAAAATTTAAATCAAAAACGAATTTTTATCACTAACGGAAATGAAGATGAAATATACAAATATTGATAACATGAAATTTCTTTTCACGAAGTACGGGTTTATGTACTTAATTTTGAGTTAAGAGACTTATATGAGGGCTAGCGATAAAATCCAGTTATCTAAGCCAAGTTAAGTGTAACGATATTTGACTCAGTAGTTGACAAGCAAGTAACTGAACCACTGAATTATCACCACACAAATTAATGAAATTATAAGTGTTAATATTGTTAACTACAAATTGTTTTATCAGATCTCATAAAACACGACCAAACTTTGTACAGATATGCCATACAAGCATTCAACCTAAAGAACAGATTCTCATAAGTCACCATAGACGATGACCCAACTTGGATGAGTCATATCAGTGTGAACAACACAAACTATAAGATTTGCTTTCTACAGTACGTAAACGATACGAGGAAACCTGTAGCATGAGTGGCATCAGTGGGTCTCATGTTTGAAACTAGCATTACCCACTTAGGCATAACGAGTGGGGTAGTAACACGAATCCACAAAGCTATAGTTGATAAATGAGATTTGATCAAGGTAGTTCACCGGAATGACAAAATTTTCAGCAAATCCTACCAGTAACAAATCTTTGATACCAAGAGAAACTAAACAAAACCGACTTGCTACTTACAAATAATCAGTAACAAACAGAATCCTGATAGACTACTCAAAAACTTCGTATAAACACAATAGTCAGGCGAATTTCGCTTAAAATGTGTTAATAAAAATGGAGGCAAAGTTTTGGAATAAGGCCTTTTCGATTCAGGAGCACCATCTTTACATATGCGCCGATGGGCCGGTGATGGCTTTCAACCATAAACTTATTTCAAACTCTCACCCACCCCCCGATTGACACATTCTAAACATTCGGGCAGGACTTCTATGGAAAATAGACAAACCAAGGTTGAGCATATGAATCTACATGTGGTTCCTGAGTTTCATTTAGTAATATATTGGTATTTGAAATCAGAAATCGTCAGAGCCAATACAGACGACCGCCTCATCCTACATGTAGGTTAGAAATTACTGGCAATCTGAGCCGTGTAAGCTTTTCATCTAGGACCTCAGACACGAGAAGCCGGTAGCCAGGTACAAAATGTGATTGTTAGAATCCAATCACAGTAGCACGTGTGCATACTGTTTTCATTTGTGGATTCCAGGTTTCATTGTCCAGGCTTTTTATCCATCCTAACTGTTTTTATTTGTTCTATCCTAGGAGTCTTTCTTCGGGGAAACATAGAATTGTACCTCATTATCATAATGTACGCGCAAGAAAGAGATAATTACGATCAATAGGGTACAAGTCCTGCATTCCACACAAAAATTGATTTCGACAGTAAAGTGACGTAGTTTTGGTGCAAATCGAAGAACCCATCAGAGTTCCATTACTTCACTATCTTGAAAACTGGGGAGTGTAATGATGTAGTACTGTTATTATCAACATCGAGTGAAACCTTGTCTACAACACCCATACATTTGAGTAACCCATTGACTAGTAAGCGCGTTAGACTTGCAAGTCTGTGGTAGAAAAAACCAAATCCCAGATTCTTAAATCACCAATTTACTAAAGAATACTTACGTATATGTGTGTATGCTAGGTGTTACTGGTAACTGCAATAAACTCATGAAAAGACTTACATCAAACTGGCGTTGTGCAGCATTTGGATTACACTTGATATGACACTCAAAACACTTTCAGGAACTTTTAGCCAGTAATTAAAGGCTGCCACCAATGCACTGCGAATTCCTTTCCCATTTGTACTACATATGTAACTATATGGTTCCATAACCACCTGCTTTACATGAAGAAAACACTGAGACCTACTTTTTCAGCAGTCTTGTCAAATTCAAGGCCACTTCGTTTTGCATCCATTGCTGAATGTTTTTGTCTCACTCGGTTGAGCGTGTCTCCTGGCGCGGTGGGCAATGGTCGTTTGTTGGAGGCTGCTGAGCACTTGAAGGTCAAACCGTCATAAAACGATTGGTGCGTCACCTCGACAATTTGTAAGGCTTTGCAAAAGCGACCAAAGCAAGACGGTTTTAGATTTGGTTCGAGTTCAGCCACACTGCCTGATAACGTCCATCCTCCAAGTAATGAAAGTGATGCCATCGTAGTAATGCATGATGTATGACGAATCTTCAATCTTGCTATCACAAAGAGTGACCATTTGAGATGACTTCAAGACCTGCGTGAAAGAAATACGGAAGGTAATACGACTTCTGTGGTTAATAAATCCTTGCAAAACATACCCACAGTAAGTATATCATATCGACATGTAAAACGAATGAAGTTGACCCAACTCTACTAACTTTTCGCCAGATTCTATGAACCGCGCGTTTAAAAAAAGTTAGTGATTTAGTACTTGTTGAGTTTATATCTGCTTTTATGCACTTGTTGCATCAAAAAGCATTCTCGGAATACTTTAACTCGAAGTACTGCGGTTGAGGTTTGAAATTTTGCCAAACTTTGTCTTGTGGTACCTTCTTTCTCATTGACTCCGACCGTTGTGTACATATTGTGATCATATTGTGTTTTAGACCTTCCTAATCGGATTACAGTGGTTGGTAGTACTTATAAATATGGATAGCTAAATTGTTTATTCTTCGTGCAGGGAGGAATGCAATGTGGTCAGCATAAAAAGTGGTTCCAAAAGATGTGTACCCGTTTAAGTACCACCGCACACAAAAGATGCTCAAAGCCTAACTCGCATTGGCTTTGTATATTATGCTGTACGAATAAGATGTTACTGAGCGAGGAGGCTGTGAGCCTACAAGCTCTGGCCTGTTAGAAGAAAGATGGTGGTTGCAATGGTAACAGGAGTATTGGCAGTGAAAAATGTGTCATTGTGGTACTTGCTGTTAAGGGACGCGTTAAACAGCCGACTGTAATTGAGGAAAAAGTAAAATCTCAGTTGAAACTAACGAGAAATGAAGTGCACTTGATAGTGACATGGGTAGTCATGTACCTTTAGTGAAAATTGAAGACCCGGACAAAAGGCTCACTGTCCCGAATGGTCATATGTGACTGTCTGAATGATGAAAAATGGACGACGGTACGGAGAACAAGAAGTGAGAGGGAAAAAGCCATAAGCGGTACACAATTGGTTAGCAAACCATTGGTTAACTTCCACTACGAGTCACAAAATACACTACCAAAGTTTGATAGTATATATCTCTTGAAGATAGAATAAAAAGAAGGATGGTACTAGCTGAACTAAAAACTCGCCGACAAAACGCTGAGGAAAATCTCCCATTGATGGGTCTTGGAAGCGAATGCTATCAAGGCCTGTGTTGATAGTCCTTTCTTCCTTGGAGTTTTATATACCGATGCTCGTAATCTAATAAATAAATTCTACGAACTAGAAGCGTTAGTGGACAAACTAAAGCCATTCATAGTAGTTGTGACAGGAGGTTGGTTAGTTCATGACTTCGAAATTACCCCAGGATTATCCGGATACCATGACCTAAGAAGTGGTAAACACAGATATAGGGAAGGAGGTTGCGTCCTTTTATACATAGCCAATAATATAAATATCTGCTCCTTTACTTGCGCGTCCCATGATAGTGGAACTTGTGACGTCATTAGCTTTGAGCTCACTATCAGATGTTGTACATTTATACTCGGTGTCATCTATAACAGCCCAATCTGCTTAGCTGATGACTTTGTTTCAGAGCACATTCAGCTATGGAGTGCAAATAGCAGATGCTTAACATTAGGAGACTTTAGTGCACCTGATATTAGTTGAACTGAGATGACCACGGTAGGATCTATAAACTCTTTTGATGGTAGGTTTCTGATGACCATGACGGAGCATTCATCAGCGCAGCGTGTAACTGAACCTACACGTTTCAGTGCAAACCAAGGTTCTTCTTTGTTAGACTTGGTAACCACTGGTGCAACTGAGGACATTGCCAACGTTAGGGAATAGCAATCACGCTATTTTGTCACTCATGTTTAGAGCTAGTGACATGATATGAGATCAGATTAAGCCTCGCCCAAATCTATGAAGAACTAATACATTAACCATTTAAGAGTGCGCTGGTAAGATGGATTGGTCTTTAGATACTAGCTCATCAGTTGAAGAAGCATGGTCTATATTTAAAGGTAAGTTTAGTTAAGTTACGTCCTCTTTCATACCATACCTAGTACCACGTAGAGCGAAAAACTGTCCACCATGGATAACTAAGCAAGTCAAGCAACTTCTTAGACGTAGGAAAAAGCACTGAAATATGTCTATCCTCTGCTGACTGAGAACAGTACAGACCCAGTTATTGTGAGACAAGGAATGGTTGAAAAGCGTTAATAAGTAAGACTAAACAGTCATATAAAAAACAATTGCTTAGGGATTGCAAAAATAGTCCGAAACGGTCATTCTCATAGATAAAACGGAGAATTCAGATAAGCGATGGAGTTCTATCACTTTCGGTACAAGAAAATCCGTTAATATTGGCAATAGATGATGCTAAAAAAGCTGAAGCTTTATCACAATATCTCAGTAAAGTGTTTTCTATCAGCAATGAGGAACGACTAACTATTAATTATGGTTGTAGCAACCTGTTGGTGGACCCTGTAATTAATGAGGAAAGTACTATCTTAAGAATACTTCAACATCTCAAACCTCTAAGTCCAGTGGTCCTGATGGTGTTCATCCTAAGATTATGAAAGCTGTATCGGATGTAACTGCTGAACCTACAGCCATACTGTTTGATATGTCTCTGTAGCAGTCCAGATTGCCAAGAGACTGGTAAAACGCAATAACTAGTCCGGTGTATAAGGTGGGGAGTAGAGACATAGTTTGTAACTATTGACCAGTTAGTCTAACCAGTTCAGTTGTAAAACTAATGGAAAGATTATTCGGATGGCTGTTATAAAATATGTGGAAGGGCATTATCTTCTATCCAGGGAACAACATGGTTTTCGGAGTGGCCTATCGTGTTTGACAAACCTGCTCATTACGAGAGAAAATCGGGCTGCGGTAAAAGAAGGGAATATTCCTGTAGATGTGGTTTTCAGTATATAAAATCCAGGCAACAACTTGTTATGGTGGATAACGATAAGAATAGCATCAATATGATAGACTCAGACGTACGGGTCATTAATTTTTGACCTGTATCCTTTATTCCCCACGATCCATAAGTTTGGTTTGCAGCACTGGAATCTCAATTCGAGATCCGCCGCATAACGAACCAACAGCAGAAGTACGCATACGCTCTGGAAACACTACCGGGGACAACATAGCTGCTGTCTGTGAGGTTTTCCTCAACCCGAATGTACCTCACGTTTAAGATCGTCTCAAGGAGGCGATTCTCAGACATTTCCTCCCGTCGATGAAGGAACGCTTGAGGACACGTTTAGCACGTCACCCTCTGGGTGATGCTAAACCGAGCCACCATCTCACGCGCCTGCAATCTCTTGCAAGACCTACGACAAAAGATCTTGAAATTGTTAAAGAATCGTAGCTCGAATCCCTACCAGCAAGTATACAACCAACAGTTACGGCTCTGCTCGAGGACAACCCACTTAGCCAGGTGGCCCTCACAGGAGATAAGATACTAGCAAGGACTAGCATTCGAGACAATCTTGTGGTTGCCTCAACATCCCGTTCGAACGTAGACCTCGACGCTAGCTGCCTTTCGGCTCAAAGTGAAAGGGGTGGTTGCATTCATACACGTCTAAATTTCCGAAATCGTTCCGATATATTTGAACCCTACGTCCCTCGAGCCAGGTCGCGCTCTTGTAAAGCCGTAACTACTCGCCCAACGCGTACATCTTCAAAGCCACGCTAAAAGGTAGCTTCTGAAGCGTGTACGGGTCAGTGCTGCTTCCATCATACTTTCATGTACGGTGCCCACCGCTGTCGAGCTAAATGCTCATACAATGTAGGAAACTCCCGAGCCGGCGAGTAAATGCGATCGTACTCGCCGGCCCCCATCCCAGGTTGGCCGTTTATTTTATGTGCACGATCATCACACTAACGCTAGGTACCTGGTACATACAGGTGCTCAAGTTTCTGTCATACCTATTGGTAACAGTAGGTCACAAGCTACGACACTTCGGCCACGGTCTGATAATGACTCAGTCATTCCTACCTATGGCATACGACAGCTCACGGTCAACCTGGGCAACCGACGACGGTATCTGTGGACGTTCCTCTTTGCTGATGTCCCCGCAGCCATACTCGGTATCAATTTCCTACAGCACTATGAATTGCTAGTCGATTCACGTAGGCTGCAGTTAATCGATACTTCGTCGAACAGTAAATTCATGGGCTTTTAGGCTCAAACAAACGCGTACCAAATCTTAGGAACCTTTTATTCGCGAGACGATATATTCCACGCTTTATTCGGGAAATTCACCCAATTAACTAAACCTCTTGAGGAAATCCCATCGGTGAACAACCGTGTGGTACACCACATAGTCACCCACGGACCCTCAGTCACGGCAAAACCTCGCCGACTGGCACCGATTAGCTTCCGCTAACCGTGAGTCTGACAATTTACTAGCTACTGGTATCATTCATCCTTCTCACAGTTCCTGGGCCCCACCTCTTAACATGGTGCACAAAAAGGATGGGGTTAGTTGGAGACCATGCGGCGACTACCGAGCTCTAAACGTAGTTACGCGCTTTGATAGCCATCCCATCCCCCACATACATGACATCACGGCGTCGCTCAAGGGCACGACTATTTTTTCTAAGATCAATTCGGTACGAGCATATCATCAGATCCCAGTCGCTCTTGAATATATCGAAAAAACCGCTATCACGACTCCTTTGGGTTTGTTTGAGTTCCTGCGAATGCCATTTGGATTACGGAATGTTGCTCAAACTTTCCAAAGGTTTATCGATAGCATAGTACGAGACATAGATTTTG